CTTTTTTAACAACCTCTTCTCCACCACTATTTCCAATTGAATATTAAAAAAGTATATATTATGTTCCAAAGTTCACTACAATGGCAATTTACCAGCTCCTCATTGGTTTCCATTTAGCTACTCTCATAATTATGTTTTTACTAGTGGGTTTTTCTCCTGATTTAAATCTATTTTGTTAGTTAACCATGAATTGTATTCTTCACTAACACTTTTTATAATGTTACTTTTTCAGACTGAGTCACTGTAACCTGTCAGAGGAACGCTATGAAGCTCTGTCCTCAGCTCTCAGCTCCCAGTCTTCCTATCTGAGAGAGCTGGACCTGAGTAACTCTGACCTGCAAGATTCAGGAACAAAGTTTCTTTCTGATGGACTGAAGAGTCCACACTGTAAACTGAATGTTCTCAGGTCAGATCAAACTATATGTACATATGTATGTATGCATGTATATCAACTGACAGAATGAAGGAAAAAAACAGGATTAAATATTATTAAATTAAATAATGCCTCATTATACTTAAAGAAATGTGTTGGTTTTATTGTTTATCTGTTATTTTTCAGACTGAGTCACTGTAACCTCTCAGAGAAAGGCTATGAAGCTCTGTCCTCAGTTCTAAGCTCCCAGTCCTCTAGTCTGAGACAGCTGGACCTGAGTAACTGTGACCTGCAGGACTCAGGAGTGAAGCTTCTGTCTGTTGGAGTAAAGCGTCCCAACTGTACACTGGAAACTCTAAGGTCAGATTTAAAACCTTTCTGCTGATGATCACTTAAAAACTTTAAATTGTTGAAATATGTCTGTGAAGGTTCTCAGTCATCCAGGTCATCGTAGTCAAAGGAGCTTACAAAGAAAAGCATCTGGACTTCTTTAAGTTACTTGAAGACGTTTCACCTCTCATCATAGAAGCTTCTTCAGTTCTAGGGTCAAATGGTCCCAGATTTAAACCTAATGTGAGGTTGGACGGAGGGACTTTGGCACTGGAGAGGGTGGCTGAGACTTTCATCCTGATTTGCTCTGCTTCTGTCTGTGATAATTTATTAATCCGTATGGCGATTTCTGTGGCTGTGATGAGGTCCACTATGGGCAACTATTGCAGGGAAATGGCAAAATTTAGTCCTTTGGTTAACATTTTGTTTTCAGGTTCAGTGAGATTCCGGTCTGAAAAGTTCTTCACCCATTTTTCCTGACTGTCTTCAGGTGTGTGTTTTTCTCTGAGTTGTGTAGGTTCTGACTGGGAAGTAAAGATTTTTGTTAACAAAGTGTGGAATTTTCTTTTCCTTCAGAGTGTTGGGCCCACTGAGCCTTGTCCACAACCTTGTAAACCTCTTCTAAGATTGGAGAGGGTAGAAGTGTTTTCAGTTCCTGCAGCGTCTGGCTAATCTTGTTCTGGAGGGCACCTATAGTGAAATGGATCTTTCTTATCCTTTCACTTAGAAGCTGATTTTGTGCTCTCCCTAAAATTAACTGTAACTTTACTGTATAAAGAGCTAATATCTCCAAAATGTCAGGAGTAGTTAGTCATTACAACAAGTGTTTGTGAACTAAAAATCAAGAATGTGGGATACTGTTTGTCCGTGATTTAAACAGCCCAGCGCAGGGAAAACCAATTCTGCAGGGAGACCTACCTCGGCACTTGTGCAGGTGAAACCGAAGGGAAGATTTGCTTCACCATATTTTCTAGTCTTTGGCTTAGAATGAAAACATATTTGGAAACATATTCAGCGATGCTTCATCTCCTGCTTTGAATTTGTGTGAGCGCCCTGTCAAAAACCTGTCCATTATGCTAGCAATGTCCAAGCGTTTTTGTTCTTTTTTTCCTTTTCATATGGCCTCATGTAGCCCATGAATTTGGACCAAGCTACAATGACACTAGGGCTGGGTATCGTCACTGATATCTAGAATCGATGCGATTCCGATTCACAAGGTCCTGAATCGATTCGATCCATGATTCGATTCAATTCAATTCAATTCAATTGGATTTGAATCGGGGAAATTTTGCCTCAGTTAGAAATA